AGGGTGAAAACATTTGTATTAGAATTTGCAAAAAAATGAGGCTGTTACGCTATCTCTCCTGCAGTCTTAAAAAACGAATGTGATGCTTTTTGAGCGTTCGTTTTTAGTGGTAATTTCGGGCGGGAGCAAATGGAAATGTTTTCTTGATCAATGTTTAGCTAGTTGTAAATTGTTATACGAGGTGATAGGGTGTCAGCGCAATGCGGCAGTGGATTAGCTGTGCGCGAGGAGGTCGTTCCTCCGGCGATGGCCGTCCTCTGCCCGGTCACTCGGTTGTCCGCCCGGGCGGGCGGCTATTCCTGACGGCGCGGCGCGGCATTGTCCGCCGCTAACGACGCGCGGGCACTCGCGAATGTGACGGGACTAATGAGAAGGACAGAGGGCCGGGCGCTGCTGCGTGCCGATCGCTCTCGTCCTGAGCGCTTCCCCGTTCTTGCTTGCTTACTCGCTTGTGTTCTAACTCGCCGCTCCCTCGTGCCGATTCGGCCGCACCGGTAACTCGTCCTTTCATCACGAATCTCCAACAATTATCGTGCTGCCGCATTTTATATATTTTTCCCTTTCCCACTTCTCTTTTTTCACCTGTCTTTTTTCTCTCTCCGCGTGATCAGTGAAGCAACTCTTAACACTGTACGACACCTCTTTCCCTGTAATGGTAGTTATTCCCTTTTCATATACCGTAATGAAATTCCCAGGAATCTGTTGGACTGAGACACCACCATTTCCTCTCATCCGGATGTATCGTCTCTCTCGCGCACTGAATTTGTCACCTCCCTTCTATCCCAAGGATTGTTCTCAACTTACGACCTCATTGACATGGATGGAAAACGCTCAATCACACAATTATTCCGCCTTTAAGTAAATTCTCTTCTCATACCCTAACCAACCATTTCATCAGAATGTTTAGTGAATGCCGAAAAGGTGACTTACATTAATGAAAATCTAGCATGTGTGACTTCGAGGTATTAGCTTTTTTCTACCAGAATGTTTCAGCACTGAGCGCTTGGTTCATTTATTAATACTGGTGGTCGAAACTCTACCGCTCTGCGAGCCTGTACAAATACGTGATTAGCGTGTGTTGTTTCCCTTATTTCTCTGCAATGCCTGTAAAATTTGAAAATAGGGGATCACCAGGCTTTTTGCCCCTCCCGTATGGCTGGGGAATACTACGGAACCTGGGTTCGTTCGTGCCGTCAACCGGCAGAGCAGTCTTTTGGAAGTCGAATAGTCTCCAGAACCCTTGATTTGTGTGTAATATTTTAAGTGGAAAAAAAGGGGTGTTACAATACGAACTTTTGTAAAAATAAATGTCGTTCACGTGCGGAAATAATTATTACTTTTATTACCTCGTGGACAATGCTTTGTTATTGCAGTGTATAACACATTACACACTACTTGTCATGTGATTGTTAATGTTTTACTTTACGCTGTGCAAAAATTCTAATAAATAAGACTTCTCGCAAATATCGATTTGGTCCATGTGCTGGATTGGTTTTGGTTGTCAAGTATCCTATTGTTAAAACGTTTTCCTTCAAATATGGGCATGCGTTCGCTATGATACTGTCTTTGAGAAATTTGATTTACTTGTCAGAGATTCAAATAATTCCAGTCGTTATTTCACAGACAGAATACTTGTACGCAGTGAAGACGCGCTTAAATCCTTGACTGTTACGTAGTTGCGTAGTTCTGGGGCGCTTGAGTCGTCATAAACAAATAAATCATGAACACCCACCTTATATCTGATTTAATTCAAACACCTTTTTAAACACTCCCATCAAAAATATCAGTGTGAACATTTTACCGAAATCGCTCGAGTACTTTTGTTTCTATGTGGTACACACACGCACGCTCACAAATGTTCTTTCAATCTCCCACACACACACACACATACAGAGGTGGCCAAATTATTATGGCAAAACTGTAGCATCACATGTTTTGAAATCCTGTGTTTAATATGCTTTTCTGGCCAGATGAAATTGTTCCAAGATGACTGTGGGGTATTCGATGGTAAGTTCGATCAGTTTTAGGGAATATTGTAGTTGGGATTTTTAGGGAAATTGTATAGGTCACTTACAATGACTTAAAACTGCTGACTGTTAAAAATCGGGCATGTTTTAGCAGTTCTGCATACGTTTTTTAGTGTTGACAAGTTTTATATCAGTGTTTTTACGTTAAAGAATCGATTGATAGATTTGCAAACACTAATGGTTTTTATGCGACGCAGATATTAAAATTAGTTGTAAAAAAATAGAGAGAAAACGCAGGAATGCAAATGAAATATTAAAACAATTGTAAAGTTCCACTGTAAAGCAGTTCTACCATAATAAATTTTCCATCTCTGTAGATAAGCTTTTCATGTACACAAAAGCAAATATGGAGTAAAGTATTTTTCACTTACAGCTTGGAATGAAATGTTTAAAAATTTCTCACTTAGTAGATTAGGGCATAGAAAACAAAAATGGTGTTCCTTAGAACCAGGTTCTTCGCATCGTTTCCGGGCTGTATGTACGATGTTCTACAGTGTTGTGTCTGCACGTTGTGTAATGTATTTAATTTAATATACTCGTAACACACATTACATATAAATTTCAGCGTCCTGCACTCCTACTGTGTTACATTGTATTATATCTAATTTGTCTGCAATGAAAACTTTATGATGATTCAAGGTTTAATTTTGGCAACAAAAAGCGTGTTCGTTAAATAGTACGAGAAAGCGTTGGATTTTTCCCGCAAAACAGTTGGAATGTAATTGAAATATTTGACACCCTATTGAAAACTTAACTTACTCACCTCGAGCTGTGCTATAACTGGACTACGTTATTAGTATTGGTTATGGCAAAGAGTGCGCCCTCGTAAATATAATATTAGTCTGCTTTTTTCTATTGCCTTAAGTACACACTGAAATTTGCAGTCTAGAATGAAATGTATTACGAACACCTTCACAGCTTGCCAGTGTTGCCTCACCCTCTTCGCGGTCTGTACGGACTGCAGACAGAAGCTGTAATCACAGGCATTGAAATGTGCTACGTTTCCGGACACAGGTCGTTAATTACCTGTTAAACGTGGTTGAAAGCAGAAGCGCTAGAAAGGCGACAACGTTCCAAATTACGAGCAGCAGGGTTTACTACTCCAAGGCACCGCCTTGCGACTTCATCTCCTCCTGCACTGGACTCGTTTGTATACTGTAGTTGTCATCCGTAGTTTTAGTGAACTTCAATTTTTTTCAAGTTCCATCAATCATCTTTACTTGTTACTGCTTACGCAGTATAGTTGATTTCAGGAAATTCTTTAATAAATAAATTTTGTCGTTTGAAACCCATAAACTCTAAACGAGGTTCCGGATATTTTTTAATTCGCTACTCTAGACTTCGCCGTATCAATTTAGACTTACGTCTGAAAAATCTGACGAAAGTAAGGGAAATTTATTCCAGGAAAGGAGTGACCACCCAGTTATTACACATTATTATTATTATTATTATTATTATTATTATTATTATTATTTATTGTTATTAATATAATTATTACATATCGGCTATTGATGACCACACTACACTCAATCTTTCGAGGCCCAGTCATTTATACTGGAGAGATTATCGTGTGTCATTCTTCACCTTCTTTCGGCTGTGCCCCTTGGTAAAACAAGGTTGTGACCCATGTTACCTTGTTACAGTATCATGGATCTGATATTCTGCAACTGGTTTTTTGTAATCATGATGTGTAGTGAAGGGACAATCACAAATACGACTATGCCTATGCAGGACTTGAACATGCAGCCTCCTCGGCGCAACAATCTTTGCCACAGGGCCGGGTTATTACTATTATTATTATTACTATTATTATTATTATTATTATTATTATTATTATTATTATTTACGTTTATATAAATACACGCTTCCATCGGAAACTTGTTGCATGACTCGAACTAGAGGCTTTCTAATGCATGCTTGTCCTTTCAGTATTCTCACGTTTTCCTTTATGGGTTCAAGTATTGTTTATTGACGAATTTACTGCGTTAGCTTTGATCAAAGGAGAACAAGGTTTGAAAGGCCTTGCATTTTAAGAATAAATTAGCTTTGCATGAATGATATCCTGACTGGTACTGTTGCTTTGTCAGTCGTTGAGGGTACACGTACACGAGGTCACATTTTAATTATTTCTTTATTAAAGACGGACAGCAGCGATATAATGACTAACCATGTCCTGAAAGTCTTTAATTGGATGAAATGCATAATAGCCTCATTCACTTTGATCTTTGCGGTTACGTGAAAGCGGACTCGGGCAACACCCATAAAATAGTATAAAAATTTGCCTAAATTAACTACAGAATTCGTCTCTTGGTTTCAACTTTGACTCCGTCTACCTGCGTCGTGTAGATTCAAATTTCAAGCGTCAGTGAATTTTATGATTTGACTGTGTTGAAATATGTAAATGAGAACGCTCGTGTTCGTCGCATAATGTGTCTGTAGACGTGTAAAAATAGCGTCAGATACAGAATTTAGAACAGGGGTGTCCAACCTCAAGGGTCAAAACTAAAACATTTAATATGGTTGTGCCATATTTTCATTACTCGGGTGATCATCTGGCACCCCGGTGTTGACCTCGGGACTTCGTCCAATCCGAAACGAGGGAGGGGGAAATGAAATCATTTGTGATATCAGCCATAACGCAGTGAAACACATTGGAGTGATTTTGAATTTACTAGAAACAAAAATCCTTAAATCCACACTAAACTTACATTTAAATTGAAGGGGGCATTGAGCCCGGCAGAGCGCATGCGCTAGGGCCACAATGCTCTCGATCGACTTGGATGCAAGGAAGTTTCAATTTTGGTCAGTATCCTTGCGGGGTCCGCAAGTTGGGCTACTCTGATGTAGAAGAACTTGGAATTGAAAAATGCCCTATATATTCCATTTTGTTCACATTGAATTTTAATTGTGTATTTTCTTGCTTTTTGTGTAAAAAAAAAAATCTTAGTTTTATAAACGTTTTGACTGTTGCAGCCTAACAAACTGAACGTGTACAAAAATGACTCGGAGAGCTGGGACTACACAAATCCCAACATGGGTAAGTGTGGCCTGTGAGGCCGAGGCGAGCCGCCAGAGCAAAGGATCAGAATGGTTGCTAGCAATGTAGGTGTAGCTTAGCGCACGCTCACGTTTTCCCATGCAGTACCCTACGGGTGGGGCTCGCAGCTCCTACAGCCCCGCCACTCCTGTCTTTCTGCAGTGTGCAATGCGTTTCCAACGCGCCCGTTTGTGCAATATATTTTCAAATAAATCTGTAATTTAAAAATATTCGTGTAGTGGAAGTAAAGTCTTCTAACTACCTAAAGCCACGCTGGCATAATTAATGCATCTATCCGTATTTGAGATTAACGAGCGCAACTGAGGTAAGCAGTGCAAAATTCATAGTTCATTTCAGTGACGGGTAGATTTTTCTTTGCCGAAGATTAGGAAATTCGGATAATTTAATTGATACTAATATAATTTATTAGTATTATTAGTATTTTATTCTTACTCTTTTAAAGTTATCGGTTATGTTTCTTTTATACTTATAATCACTTACCGATTAGGTATTGCGTAATTAAGTTTGTCTTAGCATGAGCATTGATTTGTCGATATTTGCAAGCAAATGGTTATTTTTCCCTATATTTTCAAGGCCGCTCAATGAACTTGAAATGAACGTTAGTCTGTTAACTTTTTCAGAATCCTATTCTATTAGCATGACAGAAGTACGTTGCAGACCGTCGTCATACGAAATTTCGCGTGGCTACTAGTTTTAACAACAGTTCGTCGTATGAAAAGTGGCGTGAGCGTGAGTGCTGGAATTGTGCTCATGGTACAGAAGGAGAGCGTGATTCGGCTGCCTGTGCACTCGCGAGCTGCGCCCCTTGCGCACGGCTCGGCGACGCGTCCTTTCGCCCTGTCGACTCTCGGCGGTGACGCCTGGCACTGGCCTTGACGTCACGGGGGGGGGGCGCCAGAGCCTCGGAACACACACCAACTTCTCTTTTTTTTATCCGCAGCACCCGCCGTCGCCCGGCTCGCTTTCTCGTTTCCGTGCCTGATGCCATCCCAGCTACATCAACCTGGCGTTACCCTCCCTCCACGTCCCTTTGCTTCGCTCTTGCTTCGTATGTTCAGGGCCTCTTTGGTCCCTTTCGCGCCAATAGTTGTGGTAATTTCCTAAAATTCATGAGATGTGTTGGTCTAAAACTGTACTTTCTGCATCTCTGTTAAGCAGTATAATCTCGGTACCTCTTTTGAGGAATGGTAGATGAAAATTGGAACCGTTGAAAGATTACTTCGTAATGTGAAAACGAGGAGATTACAAGAAAATTGTAATGCTTGTATATTTAACTACTATTCTTCACACTGGCTAAAGCCGGATTATTTTGATTATTCCAATAATACGTACATCCCCTCCTGGCTTCCCTTGCTTTCTCCTGCGCCCCCCACTCCACAGTTGCAGGCCGGGATGAACCTCCACCGGACGGCGCGCTCGCTGAAGCGCGGCTTTGCAGCGCCAAATCCGGGCTCGGGCGCGTGGAGGTTGCAGTCACCGCAGCTCGCGTCGTCCGCCGCTAATTAATCGAAGGGATGTATAATAATTAGCCGTGAGCGTTCGCCGCAGCCACTGCCGCCGTTCGCAGTCCCGGCCTTAGGTTTGCCGGGGGCGCCGCCGCCACCGCAGCTGTCGCCTGTGAATGCGCCCTGAATGGGGGCGATCGCGCCGCCTGCGGGCAAATTAAGAGCGGTGGCGCGCGCTCGTCGGGAAATGAACGCCATTTTTTTACGGTCGCTGTGAAAGAGACGCCTCCCCACCTCCCGCTCCGGGCGCTCAATGGACGGCAGCGGCGGTTTTTTATCGCGCGTGTCCAGCGTCCGATACACGCTCACGCATCTCCGCCTCCGCCACCCAGCGTTGACCTCTCGTGTGCATAAAAGGCCCGTTCTGTGCCAACTTTGGCCTACGTTCTTCAATGCCGCAACAGCCTCGGCGCTGCCCCGGCAACGGAAAAGAGAGAGGGCGTTGCGCGTCTCGCAGAGAGGAGCGTGCGGCGAGACGCAAGGGCGAGCGAAACTCCGGCGCATCCAATCGCGATGTTTCTCCACGCTCTTCTCCGCCCCCTTTCTCCTTCACCTCCGTTCATTCTTGCATATCACCCTTTCCGCGTCTTTCTCTTCCTCCGCCAGGGGTACATTTTCGGCTGGTTCTGCATCACCCCTAGTTGCTCATTTGCTCTTTTCTGGCTGTTTTACTTCTCAGCATATTCCTCTCCTTCGCAAGATTCTCTCCGTCCTCGGTTTCGTCATACCTGGTAGAGCTCGTGGAAGTTTTCTGGGCCTACTACCACTTCGACGTCCTTCCCCTGCATCTGCTCTCTTCCTGATTTGTCTGCCCTGGTCGTATCTCCTTGCGTTCCCACAGTCTGAGGTTCGCTTTGGCACAGCGGGTAGACCGGAAGGAAGCGCCCCCCCCCCCCCGAACTTGCGAGGGAGGCGGCGGCCTCGGGGCTGGCCTCGCCGGCTTGATGGAGCGCCCCCGCCACCACTCGGTTAATAGCGTTACAAGTTGGGGCGAGCCGCCCTCAGCTCGGACGCCCGACTTAAGCCGCTCTCTCGCTCTCCTTGGCCAGCACATTACTCGCTCGCGTGGGCATGATACGGTTTTAGTAGCCGGCCTCATCCGACAATCAGTGCGGTTGTGCGAAGCGAACACAAACGTTTCTGAAGTAATTTTTACAGTACTTTACGGGGGGCATTGCCATATAAGTGAGATATCCTAAACTAGGAGTATTCGAGAAGAAAAAAATATATTTTTGTCCAACTCTCAAGCTTTTAGAGTCATTATTGCCAACAATTCAACGCTGTAAAAGTCTCTCAGAGCTAGCAGGGGTGTGAAGGAGTTTCTACTTCCAGGTGAACAAGTTCTGAGACTTTCAGTACACTCAGTTACTTTGCCTTATTTGAAACTGCTTCAACAACAATTATTACATACCTTACTGCGAAGTCATCACTCGTTGCCTCTTTAGTATGCAAATATCTTCATTGCCATTACGAAGAACTTCTGAGTGAACGCGTTGGAAAATTCAAAGGCTTTAAGCGGTGACAAAGTTCTCAGTCAGAAGTTCCTCCGATACACGACCTCTCCGCCGACTTTAACATTCAACGACAACTTATGCCGTAAAGAAGGTCTGAGAGATAAAGAAGTAATTGCGCATGCTGTGCGGCGAGCGGCTGTAGCCTGCAACTAAAGAGCACCTAAAAAGCCGTGAACAAAGCAGAGCGGCCAGGAGGGTACATCTCCGAGCGAATGCGCTGCGCTGCGAGGCGACGCCGACGCCGACGCCGTCGTCGTGTCGTAATGCGCAAATGCTGCTGGGAGGAAGAGGCGGGGGCGCGCGGTGTGAACGGCCGTATGACCTCGACGCCGACGCCATCGTCGCAGCCGACGCCCGGCGTGGCCGCGCCGTGCGTAAACACTCGCGCGATAGTGGCGCTTACACTTAGCGCTCGCGCCTCGTTCATGTCGCTGGAGCCCCTATTTCGCGAGGCTTGCATCGTACTAGCTGCTAGCTGGAACGTTCTGCGCTTGTTCTTGCTTCTCGTCTCATTGGGATTGTCTCTTCCTTATGTTGAGAAGTGTCGCAATTTGTGCTCCTTTACTAAGCTTAACCAACGAGTACAGTCCAACACATATATCACTATTTTGGCGAAATGACCACTCCTTTTAATTTTTTCTACGACTTTCGTGGTTGTGCCAGAAATACAAATTCGGAGCAATCCTCATGTGACGGCACTTGAATGTAAGATTTTCATACGTAGTGATGTTCAGTAGTCTGTGTGAGGCTCGGGTTAGGGTTGGAGAAAATTTACATCAAATGTATGTCATTATTTTTATAGTTGAATTTATTAGTCTACCTCGTGTGGTGGTTATGTCCAAATTAACAAAGAAGGTATTGTCATTGCCTTAAACTGAAGCGGGACTAATTATAGCTAGCAAAAGAAAAGCATGTTGTAGCTCGCATGAACTTACTTTACTGGTGGGTGCGATTTCAAATTCCTCTCTAAAACAACGTGCTGTCAGTGTTGTTTCTACCTTCCAACTTGACTGCACTTGCATCGCCCTCGCTCTTCTCCATCTGCGCTGTCGATGAAGGGTCGAGGCCAGTGATGGGGCCGCGGTGCGTGCGTCTCATCTTACTTTCTTTCAACGCGACGCCCATGCGTCAGCCACTTAGTCGCGCATCTACCCCGTCTTCGCCCCGCCCCGCCTCGCGTCGCCCGCGCTCGCTTTAAGGAAGCGGGTCGCGTCGCCTGCGCCCTCACGAGTTGGAGGGGGAGGAAGACGGGAAAGAAGACGACGTCGCCGGCGGCGGGGCAAGGCTCAGTAGCAGAGCCGCAGCCCTGATGTATCGTCGTCGCACTGATGGGATTCGGCGAGCGACGTGTGCGCCTCGGTGATCCTGCTGCCTTCGCCTTCGGAGATACGCCCTTCTCCCTCCGGCCTTCACCTCCTCCTCCACCCCACGGACGATAAGCCCCTCGAGAGCCGCCGTCCAAACGCCTTGGGCCCTGGCTGCGCGCTTGCGGTGCCGCGATATATAACGCGGGCCGGGGGATATTTACGGACTGGCGACAGAGACTTACGCGCCTCGAGCAATTGCCCCGCTCGGCACCCGCGCCGCGGGGCCGTGCGTACTTAACCACGAAATATGGCACGTGTAGCGCGAGACCCCTGAATTGTGGAAGGAGGCGCCGACCTTCCCACGTCGCTGCGAGACAGACGAGGTGTCGCCGACGCTCCGGGCGGCGGCAGCGGAGGCAGCAGCTGCGACAGCTGTCCGTGCCCGTCGTGCTCGCTGTCGACGCCGTGCGGCGCCCGCCGTGTGGCTGGCCACTCTCTCATTGCCACTTCCTCGAGAGAAAGGAGTAAATTCTCTATTTCCGTACGTGTCAGTAAGCAGTGGGCGAGTTGCTAGGAAGTACCGAATTTGAAAGTTATTAATAGTATTACGTGGCTATATGTCAATTAGAATTGGGAAAACTTATGTGAGATTC